GATTAGATGATCGATAGCCCTCTGAAGGAGTGGGATTGCACCCCCTATCCAAGATGGCAACTGCAGCGAGTCAAAAGCAGGTCTCCAAGAAGCGTAAGTTCGTCGCCGATGGCGTGTTCTATGCGGAGCTTAATGAACTTCTCACTACTATCCTTGCTGAAGATGGTTACTCTGGTGTCGAGGTCCGTGTGACTCCTATCAAGACTGAGATTATCATCCGTGCTACTAGAACTCGTGAGGTCCTTGGTGAGAAGGGTCGTAGGATTAGAGAGCTCACTGCTCTTGTTGAGAGACGTTTCGATTTCCCTGAGAACTCCGTCGAGCTCTTTGCTGAGCGTGTCGATAATCGTGCTCTCTGTGCCCAGGCTCAAGCTGAATCACTTCGTTACAAGCTATTGGGTGGTCTTCCTGTTCGTAGGGCTGCTTATGGTGTATTAAGGTTTGTTATGGAGAATGGTGCTAAGGGTGTTGAGGTTACTGTATCTGGTAAACTACGTGCCCAACGTGCTAAGGTTATGAAGTTTGCTGATGGTTATCTCCTATCTACTGGTACTCCTAAGGAGATGTATGTTGATCAAGCTATTCGTAATGTCGATATGCGTCAGGGTATTCTTGGTATCAGAGTTAAGATTATGATGGCTTATGATCCTGAGGGTAAGAGTGGTCCCAAGACTCGTCTACCTGATGATATCACCATTCATGAGCCTAAGGAGGATACCGTCTTCCCTATCGAGGCTACTACCACCGAGGAGGAAGTGCCAGCAGCAGCAGCAGCTCCTGAGGCCGTTGTGGCTGAGGAGCAGCAACAGCCTGCTGCTGCTGTGGAGATCACCGCTTAAGTAGCTGATGCTTTGGTTATGATGATGATGAACGATTACATAGTTGATGACGAGCCGCTACTTGCTATCCTGCTTCGGATTATATTATTGTTGTGTTCAGTACTAGTAGGATTAAACTGATTAAGCTTGCGGATTCTCATGTGCATCGTTCAAGGATAATGCTATTAGGCTCGTTATTCACGAAACGAAAGTGGGTTACTCTTTATTTCGTAGTGCAGTAGCTAAGCAGTTCTCATGTGGTATAATCTCATCTGCTAGTAGGCTATTTGTGTTTCAATCTGATCTAGCAGAAGCAGCAGTGTAGGTGGTTTGTATCCGGTCGTTGTCATCGTCGTCGTCGTCGTGTTGTTGTTGTTGTTGTTGTTGTTGTTGTTGTTGTTCAAGTTCCTATGATGCTTCTTCCCGATATTATGTGTTCGACAATGGTATAGTCACGTTCTATTGATACCCTATAGCAGCAGCCTCTTCATGTTGATAATATTCGACTTGTCCATTCACTGTATTCACCCCTGTTGATACCTTGTTATCTCTCTGCTCTGAGCCTCCTTCTGTGACATCATCCCTTCATCATCATCGTCATGTCAATGGATCTCTCCAATCCTCTCGTGAGGTCTACAACATAGTCGTCAATACGACTATAATACCTTGCTGTCTGCTGATATCACTCTAGTGTAGTAATGATACTACCATCATCATGTGAGTGGTCGCGAGAAGTATACCCACCTTCACTAACATCATATGTATCATATACATCTGTTGTATACGAGGACGGGTATGATCCAACAACGATAATGATGTTCAGTACACCAGTATAAGGCATTTTTGCTCCAACGCTTACTGCTGCCACTTAGTAGCGTTCTTCGGCAGTGTTCAGCAACTTCTGTAGGCAACAACTGCTTGTGGTGTTGTCGACTAAGTTGCTATATCATCGAACCATGGTTGGGTGATTTGTCAACCTTCATCATCCTCCGTATGCTGTTTATTCCTAATCATCAACTTTGTTTTGATATGATGATACTACATCAGCATGATATGACCCACGTATGGAGTGGTGAGCTGTGCCTCCTCTTATGGTTATCTATAGTGATGATAATTTATCATCATCATCGTCATCGTCGTTATAATGGTGATCCTCTTTAGTAGGATACAATCATTCAGGGTGGTAGCCACTGAAGAAGGCCCATGAGAAGTATGATTATGATTATCGTATAATAACATATCACGATACAACTGGGTTAGGCAACGAAAGGTAAAGAAACAAGGTGGCCTACCTGACAGACAGGGTTACTCTAGCTAGTTCTGAATCAGAACGCTAATATCAGAACTTCTGATATTT